ACCATCGGTGATACCTCTCTCTACAGATATTGTTTGAGGTTAGTGAAGTTTATGCATCTGCTTTCCTATTGGACGAACGAACTTACGAACTTACGAACTTACTAACGAACACATTTAACTCGTTTTTCGTAATACCCTCCTTTCAGTAGAGGGAACTTTATGTTGTGGATTATTTCTTTTAACATTTCTGTTGTACTTTACTGAATAAAACCGGATCGCGCGATTCAAATACTCCTTTATATAATCCTATTGTGACATTATTTGATCTTGCAAATAGCTGAAATTCATCTGTTGCATCAAATACACGTTTTTCTTGAAATTTCATTCGTTCTTCATCTAGTACACGACTAGATAATAAGACTTCTTTTTGAATTCTAAGTGATGATAAATCAATTACAACTAAAACGTTTAAAAATATAGACAGCCAGCTTATATTTTCTTTTAATAAGTCACCTTCATCTGTTTTAGCTTGAAATAACTTTGTAAATATTCATCGGGAACAATACGATACTGTCTCATACCGCTTGTTTTCATGATGATATCATCAATCTAGAAAGAAAAAGAACAAGTAAAATACATCATCATGCAACGACTCAAGTTGCAATGCTCGCGAAGAAATAAAATTTCAGTAGAGACTTCTTCCCCGCCGGCATATTTTACGAGAAAGTCATAGAAAATGATATAGAAACATGGATCTAGGAATCCGGTGAATGGATTCAGTAATTGATATCAACCAACTCCGGTCAAGACCAACTGAAAGTTGATAAAAGGTTCGTACTTCTCGATTTGAGTTCAGAAGTTTCTATTTAAATATATTATGAATACGCCGTCTCAATGTTTTTGTTTTCTGGATTTGAAACAACACAAAGCGCTGTACCTCTTGTTGTGACAGAGATATTCAGATCCTCATTGAAAGCTAACACCGACTATAAATGCATTGAAACCTCGGTATACTTTTGATCCCTCCAGCTAAAAATGCTGATTACGAGCACTTTACACTACACTGTAAAAAAAAGCGCAGAATAATCAACTCTTGCCCTTGATTTTCCTTTTCATAAACTCTTGAGGGGTTTATGAGGATGGCATATACCCTTGAAGGGTTCATGATNAACAGGGTACCTAAGCATACTGTGCAATAGTATCCAGTTGAGTACTTGATCAGTACCTTCAAGTACTCATTTACTAGTTGTTTTCCAGCAGGGTACCTACCTGAGTACCTAAAAGTACTTTTAAGTACTCCAGTACCATAAAGTTCCTAAGACATACTAGTAGCAGGGTACTTTTTCGGGTACCCTTTGTTCAGTACATGCTCAAGGGAAGGAATGAGAGAACAAAAGAATAAGATGAAACAATATTCATAATTCGGATTATCAATCTTTTTCGTAGGTGTTGCGGTCACCAAAATTGCCCGAAGGCATTACTGATAAGAATATATTTAGTTTGAATTTTACGTCGTTTAAGGCATTATCTTGCATTTGATGTGTAAAGAGGCTTCTTTTATAATTCTTTGTCTCAAATTTGCTTCTAAAGCTATGCTTCAGATTATATAAAATTAAGTGAATGTTTATTTTCATTAGCATGCTTTGCTACGTTGGAGCATTGCGTATGATTTTTAATATCAGCTTGGTGTTCTTTCATTCTAATTTCTTTCTCTCTATTAGTTTCACCAAGATGACATTTATTACAATTTGAACATGGAATTTTATATACTAATTTCTTGTTCTCTTTTAATGCATCAGATCCTTTCTGAATAGGAAGAAATACATTTTTAATTGCAAATGTTTTTCTAAAGCATACATTAATTTCGATTAGTGGTAGCAATTTTTTATATAATCTTTTAATTCTATGAGCTAATACTACAGATTCTTGACCATAATAAGAAAGTAAAAAATTAACCTTTTTACTTCACTAGTAAATTTAATATTATGATGCCATTTATTAATTCTTTTTAAAAATTCCTTAATACTTTGCTGCTTATCAAAAATGTAAAAAATGTCATCAACATATCTAATCCATGTTAACAGTTTATTAGTTGAAAATCTATTTATTTTTTGCTCAAAATTGGACATAAACAAATGTAAAAAGATAGGTCCAAGGGGTGATCCCATTACGACTCCATCAATTTGTGTATATATTTTATCCTGAAATCTAAATGGAATATCACATACAGCAATTTTTATTAATTCTCCAAATTGAAAACGAGTATAAGCAGCATCAAGTGATTTAGATGTTTTGAATAACATATATAATGTAGTTACAATAGCTTCATGTACAGGAACGTTTGTATATAAATTATCTACATCAAAACTGATCATCGTTTGATTTACACTATTTGGTATTCCTGTAGTCACTTTAACACATTCAAATGAATCACGAATATATGAAAATGATTGTGATGGTCTATTATTTTTAATAATATCATAAAGATATTTAGAAAGTTCATGATTATATGAGCCTAAAGATGAGATAATAGGTCTCACAGGATAATTTAGCTTATGAATTTTTGTTTGATCATACACGGTAGAATATGACGAACTAGTAGAATAAATTTTCTAGTATGTTTCTTGATCTATTATTTTATCTTTATATAACTTAAAAATATATGCATTCATAAATTTTTCTTCTTCAATTAATGTTTCTTCTTTAGTATTTTTAAATTTTTTTTTGCTTTAGAATGCCATTTATTTTATTAATATAATCTATTTTACCTAATACTACTATAACATCTTCTTTATCAACGTGACAAATAATAATGTTATGATTATTCTTTAAAGATTTAATTGCATTGAATTCGTCGTCACTTATATTACGAATCTTTTTATTTTTCATTGCTTTTATGAATATTTCTGAGTAATTATTTAATTTACTACATAATGTGGAAAATACATTAGCATGACAACTATCTTGAATTTTAAAAGGATTTAATTCCATGTCAGTAATGTCAAAGAAAAAAAAGAGAAATACACTTGACAGCTTCACGATTACTCAAAATAGTATTAAGCAAAATGTAATAGATTCTTGAAAGACATGTAAAAATGGGACAAGAAATTCACTACGCTTTGGTGAAAAATTGTTTTAGATGATCAGATAAAAAATGAGCAATAAACAAGGTAACGCGACGTTTGCGTCGCCAACCCTCTACTGAAAGGATTTAGTCATGTGGAACGTAGCTATCCAAAACTATCTAGCTGAGAAACTTCACATTTTATAGCTTCGAAATGATT